AGAAAACACAATTTGGCTTTAATACCAAAGCAACATCATTACTATTTGTTCCTAGAGATCAATCAGGCACATAGATTATATAATGTACCTGCTCATTCATCAAACATCAGGGTCATACTTGTTTATTAACAGATGATTTTAACAAAGTTAAGAAGAGAAACAGACTGGAGTCCTGTAAAGCAAATAAGGCACAGTTATGTATCAAATTCTCTAACACCGCTACTAAATTCAGTAGCAGTGTTTTAGTGTCATATTTCTTGTTTCTGCTGCAATGTTTTCCACATGCTTGACCGTTAAAACTCCCTATCACATACTCCGTCCATGCAGGTGACATGCTGCGGCCCCTGCTCCACGCTGAGCGCTACGTAGCTGGTTACGGGCTACAGACGGGTGAGATTCACACTCTGATGTACAACAACCACCCGTACAGGTCTTTCCCTGTGCTGCTGCTGGATTCAGTACCCTGGTATCTTCGTCTCTACATCCACACCCTCACAGTCACCAGCAAGGGAAAGGACAACAAGCCCAGTGAGTCACTTTACCAAGTTTATAGAAATCAAAAAAGGTTAATGAAATGACGTAGTGTAACATCTGTGCGTAAATGTAGCGAAAAGGTAAGTTCATTTTATTGTTTGTACTTTAGTTAACCAGCAGGTGTTTATGTGATACAAGACGTTACATGCATTGAAAACGCACAGCAGAAGTATGTGCACAGAAGAAGAAGCTTAACTTTCCCCTCAAACTATCATCAAGAGAAATGTCTTTTCAAACGTCTCCCACACACGTCAAGTTAATTAGCATTGCTGTGACGTTCTTCCAGTTATTTTAACTGGAGGCAAATGCAGCTTTAAAGACAGAAAGAAGAATCTGCTTCACAAGCAAGTGGAGCGGCTGTTCTGTGTCCCTGTTAGAATAACTTGTGATTTTGAGGAATGAATAAAAATCTACTGTGAAATGTATTTCTACTTACACAGATGATATTTTACTAACTTACTGATGGCTGTGCATTCATTGTGAAAAAATAGATGGGTAAAATTATTGCACCTCCTACATGAGCGCAGTTCCTCTACAGGAATCATTGTGTCATGTTATTCAATGTAAGTGCTTCTTTTCACCACAAGGAGGAGAACATGAGTTACATGGTCTGTTATGAAAGCTGTGGGGCTTGTGTTTTTTGTTTTTTTTTTTACTGGGAAGACATTCTTTAGTTTACCCCCACCTGCCTATCTTGGTGATTGGCTTTTGTTCAAACATTCTGACAAGTGATATTAGTTTTGATTTATTGTCACATTATATCCATATTTATGTAGAACTTCTTATCAGTTGTATCAGTTCAGTGGTTACTCATGTTTCTCTTCCTCTGCCAGGCTACATCCACTACCAGCCGTCTAAGGACCGCGTGAGGCCCCACCTGCTGGAGATGCTGGTCCAGCTTCCTCCCAATTCCGTCACCGAGGTTACTGTGCAGTTTGAGAGGGCTCTGCTTAAATGGACTGAATACACCCCTGATCCCAACCACGGCTTCTACGTCGGGTATGCATGTAGTATGCAGAATATTCTGAAAGAAGATGCACATGTTGCCAGTCATGTCACTTTAGACCTTGACTGCAGTTGAAAAGTCTTTTTTTGTTTAGGAAGGTTCCTAACTTAGTGAAATGACCTGGAAGTATCTACAGTAAGTGGCAGCTGTGATAAGAGCTGGTCGAATTTCTCTAAATGATAAGGAAACGAGCTTCAGTGATTCCTATCTTATCTCCTTTAGCAAAGGAAACACTGGAGCTTCCTTTACAAAAGGAAAGGAGAAAATGCCATCCCACATTCCCTTGCCGCAGCAACATTTAAAGTGATGCACTATTGTAGTTTCACCACAGCAGACCCACAAAAATGTAGAAACAGCAGAGCAGCTGTTTTATGTTTGTGACATGATTCAGAACTGATGGAACTCCTTGTCTGATCAACTGAAGCCCAAATCCATAAAAATAGATTTCTTCTCTTTCAGATCTGTCCAGTTATAGTCATCATGAAGAACAAGCATGTTGAATTTATAGTTAACAATATCATCATCATAACAAAATACTATAGCCGATACGTGAATTTTGTTTCACCAAATCCCCTCCCATTGTGGGATGAACTAAAAGTGAATTTTCTCTTCTCAACAATTGTATAGAAATGTCACAAGCGCCTACGAAAGGAAACTATATACTTTATTCTTAATGTATTTTGTTACAATCTCCTGCTCAGTTCCTTATTTCTATTTAATTATTATTTTAATAGTTCAACATTCTCTGTTTGTATATTTCTTTCATGTGATATTAATTTCATTAACATTTCAATCCTGTTTGTTTTGTTTCTGTGGTTAGGAAAGGACTGTTTAACGTCCATGTGTTATAAATAAAGTTAGTTATAAAAAAGAGCCTAGTGTAAGTGCTCCTCGCACCGCAACGTTTTCCATCGAGGTTGAGAAGTGGTTAGGAAAGGAGATTATTTTGACTTTTTGACCGCAGCCCTCGTGAAGTTGTAGTTGTGTGATTAATTTGAGGGGTGTAAGAGCGGATGGTCACATGGTTTTGTATTCATTGTTTGGATTTTTCTTCTTTTTTTTCCTCATTTTCAAAATGACTAAAATCTGTTTCTTCAACATTTAGGTCTTCGGTTATCAGCTCTCTTGTACCAAGTATTGTCGCCATGGATACAAACAACACTAGGGAACGCCCGCTTTTCAGCAGCTTGTAAGTATAGAGTTGTTTGTTTTCTGAGGAAAAGCCATTTGTCACTACTGATTTGGGATCCTGTCGAGAAGTTTGTTTGTCTAGAAAGTCAAATGATTAAATTTCCCATCTCCCACCAGTTTTCCCTGTAAAGAGGAGTCCAGCTACTTTGTGCGTGTCTACACAGAACCTCTGCTGGTCAACCTGCCAACTCCAGACTTCAGCATGCCGTATAATGTCATCTGTCTGACCTGCACAGTGGTGGCTGTGGGCTATGGCTCCCTCTACAACCTACTGACCCGGAGCTTTCAGATAGAGGAGCCCAGCCCAGGACTGGCCAAGCGGATAGCCAACATCATCCGCAAAATGAGGGGCGTGCCGCCACTCTGAGGCTGGACACTGATGCCAACTGGCTCTGCTTTTAGAAAGGAAATTTTCCTTTTGGCTGGTAAACATGTGATATTCACGGAGTCCAACACTGGTATGAATGTTGACTGTATGAACAGTCAACTTGAAGGTTTTGTTTTCAAACGGAAGAGGATGAATAACTCTTTTGAACTTTAATATATTCAGGATCATTTCCTGCTGGCTGAGGACAAAAAAATGTGGACATTTGTCTATTTGGAGCTTTGTTATTGTTTGACGAGAAGAAGGAACCAAAGCTGTGGAGTATGCAGCGGTGGTAACTGCATCAGAGTGTTTTTTTTTTTTTTTTTTGGTTTGATTGTTTTTGTTTTGTGGGTGTTTGAAACCATAACTCCACTCCATCATAATACAGCCACACTGTCACTGAGGGATTTTGTTACTGTAAGGAAACTTCGGTAAAATTATGTTTCTACAAATGCACTATGAAGCCTCTGAGTTCAGATAGAAAAAGGAGTTCCTGACCTGTTTATTCCCATCTCCCTGCAAGGCAAGATGAAATAAAATGACCCTTTAAGTCAGAGTGACTGAGTCAGAATGTCACACTTTATCAAGTCTCAGGTATGACAGGACATGACTCTGAAATACTGTGTTCCCCACAACCACGCATACTAAACACAACATTAAGGTGGAACTAGGGAACATGCAGAAGTATTTCCTGTTCATTTAAAGTTCCTGATGTGTTTGTATTATCTGACATGTGTTTTGTAGAACATTTTTTTTCTAAGTTAGACATGTCCCTGAGCAACCACAGTACTTGTCTGGAAGTACTTATTCTATAAAAAAGAAACAGCCCTCTTACCAACATTTATTTTGCACTCATTATTGGATGCATGCTTGAATGTATGTTAGAGACAATTGTCTGCAGGTCCTAAAAAAGAATTGCCTTCAGTTTGTAACTCCTTCCCTCATCAGTTAAATGCAGTTTCAATGCGTCTTATAGCTAGTATAAGTTATGCTTGTCTGCCTGAAAGTCTATTCTGTTTCACTGGTGCTGAAGAAGTGTGCAGAATGTGAATGTTTGAAGCGGTACTGTGTGTTTGTGTTTGTGTGTGTGTGGGTGTGTGGCAAAACCTAAACATTCTTTATTGCCTTTTCAATAAACTGACAAACATCTTTTTGATATTTTATTTAAATTACTAGCTGTGGAAGAAGCTACACCATTAAAAACTGCACCAGAGCTGGGGCTGTATTACTTCCCACTGAGTGCCCACATTTTTGTGTAAACAAACTCGGCCCCACTTCTGGCAGACCTAGAGAAAGCAAACACAGTCGTCTCTGTATTTGGCCGGTCAGCGTTTCTCACCGCTGCACGTTTGGCAACAGCGTGGAACAAAAACAAAGGGAAAAGCAGCATTCCACATAAGTGATGGTCATATCTGGTCAGCTGCAAACTATGTTTTCTCTCCAAGCAAGTGGGTATAATACACAGCCAGAGAACGCAGCTCTGCTGGCTCAGCCTTCACTGTCTGTTTCTCAAGGACGCATACCCTCAGTGATAAGTGGCTTGTCACAGTTTTCAATGACATAGCCTTCACTTTATGCAGCACATATGTTTGTGATTTCCTAGACACTTTATTTAAATTATAAAGTGAAATTTGGATGTTTGTACAAAAAAACAATTTGAGCTGCATTTTGAGATATGTGAGGTTGGGGTGCAACAATGTTGAAATGTTTGGGCAGCAGAAATTCTTGGCCACCTCTTTGTATAGTCTTATTTTCTGCCAGTAAGCACTTTAGATTCTTGGCATATTTCATCATTTCTTTTGCAGCCAAACTCTCGTCTAAAAAGCCCATAAAAGAGACCAATGAAACTCGAGACCTGTAACCAGCAAGGTGATAAATGCGTAACACATTTCTAGGTTCTGGAAACATGTTTATTTATTGAGATACAAAGAAATAGAAAATGCCCCATACCTTCAAACTGCACGAGGAGCAGATATAAAAGTACTGTATAGTACATTTTTCATCCATTTACAACATTTAGAATATGCAGTACTGCTACTCATACAGAAATACTACTTAACTAAAATGTTAGTGACATCAAAGTACAATTACTTAAGTTGTAAACTAATCAAGTTAATATACAAACATACTGCAGGTGCTCTGGAAACTATGAGTGGCACCCTGCCAGCTAATCCCTCTCCAGTCCAAGGATGTTTTCCAAAGTGACCACTTTGTCTTTACAGGAAAGTTTAGTCAGACTGGCTCAGAGGGGAAAAAGATTACTAGTGGACAATCCCTCTGACTGTGTCACAACAACAGTACAACAGATTATTATTATTATAATTCTTTACAAGTGTAGATTATTTAACCATAAAAGTATTCACAAAATCTGATTTTTGTATGTACTTAAAGTACAGGTACAGAGAATAACTTTAAGCAAAGCACTTCACCTTCTCAATCCAAACAATCAAACTTTGTGCAAACCGGTGCTCAAATATAGTACCAAAGTGTGCTACTATGAAAAGGTAGAAACATAATACTTTTTTTTCTGAGTTGTTGCATGAAAGAAACCAAACAAATGCACACATGCAGACACGCGTTAGTCCGATCAGCAGGGCTCACTGCAGGCGTGGCCACAGGTCGTCCTGCAGCACTTCTGCTCTCCTGGACACTGACCGTCATGGTAGCAGTACTCAGCGCACATGGGGGTTCCCTGGGGCAGAGCGCAGCGACCTGGCTTCACTGGCACGCCAGAGATAAAAAAAACAAACAAACAAACAAAAAAAACACGCTCAGTTACAGTATTCAAGCATTCATGAGCAAATGTCAACACATTAATGTTATTACACAAACACAGGAGGAGCATTTTCTGGGATTCTGGGATTTTTTTCATATCTAACCTGTGTATGGTGCAATGCACTCGTGTCCGCATCCATTGTAGCAGCATTTCTCATTACTTGGGCAGTCACTGTCATTAAAGCAGAATTCAGCACACAACCCTGATCCCCAGCGCCTGCGAGGACACACTCCTGGCTTTGCTGAAGGGGAGAGAGAAATCGATATATACAAAGAGAACTAAAACAATAGTCTGGAAAATATGGCTTTTGATTGGAAGGGTCTTTCTGTTGCCCTATGGACAGTCCATGCTTGATTTCCACGTCAGTTCAGTCACTGAGAAGAGTTAACCAAAGAATTAATAGCTGCCCATTTGAGAAAAAAGTTAAACATTGTGGCTCGTACTGAAAGCCGGAGGGACACAGACAGCTCCACAGTCAAAGACACAGCATTTGTGGTCTGCAGGACAGTCTTCATCACACACACACCCCTTATGTGATGGGACAACATTAAGGCGACGTGGGCAGTGTCCTGGTTTTGGAAGAATCACTGAGAGAAAGAGGCAGCGAAGCAGAAAAGGAAAAAGATCAGCTGTGGAAACTGGGATTACATTAATGAAGGTGTCTGGTTGCCAAACGACTTGGTTGTGTAATGAAACAGACCAAAATGAACTTTTCAGAGGGAAACAGTAAATTGGCAGATCCTACATTAAAAACCTGAGTCAAAACAAACTTACCTGTTAAATTGCGATCAGCTTCTGCAGCAAGAACTGTGTTAAAGTGCATATATGCACTGAGTGCTAAAAGCAATGCACAAACTGCAGACCAGTGTTTCTCCATGTTAACTTCTTGCACACAAGAATGTACTCTTGTTTGGACAAATATCCCAGTGCACAACCTGCAGTCTGGGCAGCCCAGTCAGAAGATGCTGGGTCCTTGTGCCTGTAGAGTTTCAGATCTTCAGAGATCTTTGATGAGACTTGAGAGCTGCCACACTTTTCCCAGCACATGCCACTAATGGAATTTATGGTCTGTTGTGGTCTATTGTATAATGAAAAATGCCAGCTTAGGGGATATTGCCGTTGTCCTACTTGTGCTAGTGCAAATGTATGATGGCGTTTTTGAGCTCGTCCTTTATTAGCCGATGCGGCTTAAACGCTGTTAACGCTTTGAGTGTGTTATTTTCCCACTGAAAGAAGACATGCAATTCAATTCAGCGCACCAAAGCGTCAGTTTGT